CAGCGCCATCTCTATAACGGCGATACAGTCACTACCCATTATTTACATTTCACCGTGACATGGACAAAAATGTAACGTCAGCTTACCTCATGGCACGAATCCAGACTCTCCTTTGGAAAACATTGGCCGGGAAACGATAGAACAAGCACGTTTCATGCGAAGACCTGTGGCTGCAACCCGGAGCAAAGCAACAAACCATTGCGTAGCTAACTAGTAGCACTAGCTTTAGCTAACGTTAGCCAACGAAACGAACTGCCGAGTAAAATTGGAAAACACTGGTAATTAATTATTCTATCATTTGTAAAACTACGGTGTTAAAAACGACAATTTCAAAAATACAGATTCTAATGGTCAGATATAGATATACAGATACTAAAGATAGGCAGGTACTTGCTTTCAAGCAGAACACAGGGGAAAACAAACTTAGCGGGAGTGTTTACGTGTTCGGCGTAATGACGTACAACGGCCTCGACAATTTCTGTAGTCTTATTCAGCCATTCGGTAACAACCATCGTTTTTCAGACACGTAAACTCTTCAAAAATCCCCAGTGGGGTCACTGCTGATGTATTTAATGTCGTAGAACAAAACGTGATTTACCTCTTAAATTTGTGTCAACCACAGACCTTATTTCGAGCTATTTTCCAAAACCCTATGGAAAAAATGCATTGCTTTTTGAGGAAGGAACCGGAAGTGCTAAAAATGCTAACTTACTTCCGGGTTTTACGACGCGTCACTGCGGTTCTCTATTCCGTTACAACCCAACCCTGTGTATATCTCTCCGGACTGTCCACCAGCAGATGAAAAACACCCACCTCTCCGAGGGGCGAGGGAACCGTGCGGCAGTTTCCGTTAACATTTATTTTTCTTCTGACAGCCCAGCATATCAGAAAATGATTGTATAAATCGCTGCTAGATGAGGGCAGTGGGGGCTCTTCTTGGAGTCTGGCTTTTTAAAAAAAAACTAAAGTTCATTAGTGAACTTTGAGCCATCATTTTTTTTGCAGGCAGCTCTCTGCCTCTCTCACGTTATTATGGCGCGCACCGGAACCAACAATCAGTTTTTACCTGTAAATTAGTTCGGTTCAGAGGACAAAACACATACAACATTAATTAAACTCGATATTTGTTCACTTGAATTTCACTTTGAATTCTTGGATATTCTCAATGGGTGAATACATTTTTTTATAATAATAATAAAATAAAATAAAAAAACTTTTTTTTTTTAAATGACACCGAAGCTTTCTCAGGGTGGGCCAATGAGTAAACTGGGTGGGCCTGGGCCCACCCTGGCCCTATGGTGGCTACGCCACTGAGCCTGATGCTTTGGAGAATCTTTCAATTTTAGTAATATATTTTGGAATCGGATTTTTATCCTTTAGGAATAATGTTGTGTCATCTGCAAGCTGGCTAATGAGAATACTTGTAGCAAATACATTTAGGTTTTTGATGTCATCACAATTGTCAATGTAAATCGCTAACATTTCTATAAATATGATAAACTGAGAAATAGGACAACCCTGAGAAATCCCTACATTAACCTTATATATATATATATATTTAGCTATACTATTTAAAAATGTCTGACAGTTCTCACTAGAACATGTGGAGGTATAAAGCTGACTGTAGAATTTAAGGATTTCTGAGGAAATCCTTTTTTCGTCTGTTTCTACATAGCCTATAAACCATTAAAGAGTTGATACTATTTCTAACCTGCCTTCTTTATTCAAGACCACAGAAGTGTGCCGAGTTCTTCTCCCCTTCCTTTATCCATTTAGCTCTGGATCTAATAAAGGCCCCTTGTGCTCTTTGAGTATACATTTAATCTAATGTAGGATGAGGGCTAAGTATTTTCTGTGTGTCTTCTGCAGAAGGGTCAGGTTTATTGCAGTAAATATTTTGTTGTTTAATTATGTCTAGTTCCTTACTTTGGAGTTCTTTTGTATCATGTTTCCTAAATGAAATTGAGAGTTGGCGTACTTTATATTTAAGGAACTCCCATTTTTTTGATGGGCGTTGTTAGCGCTTCAGAGTTTAAAATGTCAATAATCAGAGATTTAATCTTTTGGCAGTAATCTTTATTTTTAAGCAGACTGGAGTCAAACTTCCAATATTTATTTGAGCGTGGTCCTTTATTTGCATAGCTAAGCTTAAGTTAAATGTATTCAGGCAGACCACAGTCCTCCAAAAAGCTTTCCTTCAGGGGTCCTTCCAGTTAGCACTAATGCTTGTTAGCCACATTGCCACATTAGCCGCTACGTACGCAGTCAGTTGGTGTTTATGGTAGCTCTCTGCTGAGAATGAACCCAAAATATGTCAGGTTTGTTCTATTTATTTTTAAAATACATTCAAACACAGACCCCAACCTTCAAAATATACGTCAACGTGTCTTACTTTGATAGCTGTAGCTGCATTCGTCGGCTGTTACGTTACAATACATAGGCGAAATCTTTTGTTTTTTAAGCTAACCCATCTAGCTAGCCTCCGATAACGCAACGTGTCAACTCCTTACAAACCTGGTGGTTTATAGTTACAGGGCTTATAACTAACAAAACCGGATGCAATCTTTCACTGAAATGAGGAATTGTATCTGTCACAACCCCGGTCTTAAAACGGTCTACTTTTAGAACTAGCTAAAGCTGCTTGCTAACGTTACCGCCCACTGCGATGGCTATTTGTGGAAAGCGATTGTAGACGAGTCAGATTTGTGTATTTCTTATGTTAAAATGAGTATATAATGAATGCGCCTTGTCATACATCCACTATGCCGAAATAATAATTGTCTCAATCAGGATCCATAATTCGTTCCTTGAAGCCCCATGGTGCATTTGGTTTCGCTTCATTATTTAAAGTGGTAGATTTTTGAATGGGGTTTGGTTATGCATCTCTGGCAAAACATCGGGGAATTGGGCTAGTGTTAGCTAACTTAATCGGACTTGGTCCTTCCCTGTCAAATAGCATTAACATTGTTTTAAAGTAAGATATCGAAGTAAACAATCAAACCTTGTATTGCAATTTAACTAACCTGGCGGAAGCTGTTTGCTATAGAGTGGACTTTGCCAGGTTCCTGTAAGCGTAAGTTGTCCAAGTAAATGGTTGCCAACTAAACATAAATACCTACTCAATCCTAACAAGTTGGTTTTAGTAACATGATTAGCTTATGTAAACATATGTCCGTCGGTGAATGCTAGCAGCTGTAACTGACAGCAACTGAGCTTTTGTCCTTCATCCAGCCGCAGCCAGTTTTCTTTCCCAAACCAGCTGCTTTGACGTAACTCTGTGTTGATTTGCACTCTGTCTAAAGTTCAAGTCAAGTGTATCATTTGATTTAGTCAATCCTATCAATGTTGTCGGACGCTTAACACACCCGTCCCATGTTCATATAATAGCAAAGTGTTGCATAGTGCGTACCTAGTTGAGGTTAGCTGAAATGCTAAGCTACGAGTATCAGGCCCTTACAAAGAAGCATGGGTGGAGGAAGTATTCCTATTTACTTGGGATGACTAACGCCACACAGTCATAATACTCCTGTATGGAAAATGTTACTTATTTAAAAGTATAATCAAGAAAAGTAACCCATGTAAATAGTTTCTTTACTTTTCAAATCATTTTAAAGGGCTGGGGCACTGATTATATGACCTGACTCTATCCTTTAACTTAAATGTAAAATACTTCTTTCATTTTGACCTTTTCTATCAAGTAATTATGTAGACTTTATTTATATGCAAGACTGTTGCAAACCTTGAGTCATGTGTAGCTATCTAAGGAGTGGCTCATAGGAGTTTGAGGTTCACTGTCGAAGGGACACTTATGCTTTAAAGAATTGTTTAAAAAGCATCTTCATTGTTAGGTTGTCTTATATTTACTATGAGGTATACATGTGTAGAAAGTGTGGAAACGTATCATACAATAATGCAAGTAAACTATTCAAATAAAAAGCCAGATGACAATTAACCAAAGCCCTAAAAGACATCAGAGAATATTTATATATTTTTTCCTTGACGATCAACTTATTGTTTCATCAATGGAATCCAAAACTAAAATGTATGAGCCGTTGCTCCCTTGCATTTGAACACGACTGCTGTATTAGCTTGCCAACTCAGGCATGGTTGGTCATTTTATCATTTTCTTGTAGCAGTACTACCATCAAAGAAATCGTGGTTGATATAAAGTTGGAATGGTTAGTTAACGACTTTGTTGAAAGTTCTTTGTTATGAGGACTTGCTTCTTTTCTTTGACATATGTAAAAGTAATTTGAATATGACGGCATACATTTGTCATTTAAGAAATTTTGATGGATGTTCTCACTATGTTCTGGCACTTACAAGGGCAAACACTTAGTGAATAAGTGAAAAGACAGATGATTTGATTAAACTATTGTTAGTTTTAGCACTAATTGGCCAGACTTTCCAGATATTTGGTACTTACAATCCTCACACTCCTTTCTTTCTTCAGGGATGACCTGACGACATCTGGCTCCCTCCATCATCCAAGCTCTGTCGGGTAGGACAACTCTCCCACATCTTCAGAGAGTGCTACATCCTCATTTTCCAAAGACCTCCAACACCCCGGGATTAACCGGTCCCAGCCCCACAGAGACCCTCTGCCAACCCGCTTCACAAAAAAATTGACAATGTATTGCTTACAGTGGCTACTTCCTGTGCTGCTCATCCCCAAGCCGCTGAACCCAGCGCTGTGGTTCAACCACTCCATGTTCATGGGCTTCTACCTGCTCAGCTTTCTGCTGGAGAGGAAGCCCTGCACCATCTGTGCCTTGGTCTTCCTCGCTGCCCTCTTCCTCATCTGCTACAGTTGCTGGGGCAACTGCTTCCTGTACCACTGCCAGGACACGGCACTGCCGGACAGCGCCCATGACCCGGCGATTGTCGGGACTTAGGAGCGGAGAGAGATATCGGAAAGGGGAATGGGGGGTGCAAAGGGTGATGAGGCGTTGCTTGGGAAAGATTTTGCCATGCTGTAAATGGGGACAGGCTACACTTCTAGGGGTTTGAGAGCAGTGTAGAAGAGATGTTAGAGGACTGCGGGATGGTAATACTGCAAATACAGATGGCCCTCGGACAAAAGCGGTATTGAGGAAGAAAAGAGCCAGTTTGGGTAAATTAACAGGGGCTCAACAGACTTGAACTTGAGGAGGAGAGGAGGGATGCCAGAGGGGACAATATGGAAACTTTTATGTAACAGGAAAGGAAGTCGTGGCGTCCAAACTTGGAATGCTAAGCAAAGAACATGACTGAACTTGAGGAAAGAAGCGTTTCACTTTCATTCAGCATTTGAATGAAAATTAGACAATAAATCCACCACATGTTAACTTAAAGTCACCGCTGTGTTTCAGTATCCCGGTTCCTTGCTTCCGGTATTCTTGTTTACTTCCATCATTGCTCACGGGAGAAGTTGTTTACTTCATTCTGACGCGTCATCTTTTTAAAATAAACTGCCAACATTCACTTAATCGTACTGAAAGGGTGTTTTCACTGGCAGCCACGCTTGCTTTACAGTAACCATACTTTGTACACCAGGTAGTGTTAAAGAATGGTTGACATGTTGGCCACAGGCTTTACAGGAACAGGACAAACATGCTTCTCACAGTCAAACCTGACCAAACTGTCGCCATTTTTGCTCTGCACACTTTCCTGAACAAAGTGTGCACACAGACACTGGACAATCAATAACTATGCTGTGAATAATTCCTCCTTTGCCGCATCGCCACGCAAACACACCTCAGAAGGTGTACGACTGCTGAGATACTATGTTCTCCAGCTGCCCCTCTTCATCCTCATCTCCGCCTCAGATCGAACGTGCCCTGCTGCCAGACCTCTATTTTTATTTTTATTGTGCATGGGTTGCTGTTATTTTGTTTTGTTCAAGAAATAAGTTCACACATTTTAATCAATTCAATTCAGAAAAAATGCTGAACGTTTCCAAAGGGTAGAATAATCTGGATGTGTGGAGAATGTGTGTATGAAATAAAATGTGTGATAGGTGTTTCTTTTTTGTGATCATGATAAGCGTTATAAAGGGGCGATACACAAGGTGACAGTAATGCGTGTTTCAGTGTCAAAAAGCAATACAGAGTGCTGGGAAATGAAAATTCTCACTGACAGGTTTATTGGTAATTGCGCTCTCAGTAAGAAGGTTCCCTTGTGTCTCACTGCTGTAAGTGTTATGTTTAGCTGTCAGGCTAAGGTGTTCATACTGTGTTCCTATTAGTGTGTGTGTGGCCTCCTGTCGCAGTCCTCAACATGCTCACTGCTACATTATTGCTTTGGTTTTAATTTAAATAAAGTTTTTCCTTTCAACATGTTAAACTGTGTTGGACTCATTCAAACATAAAACATATATATTTTTGTATGCTTAATTCTCCTACAGAAAATATTATTTATGGCAATGATGCACCATGTTTTCCGGAGTCTGAAACAAATATTAAATATTCTATTTGAGAGAAGGCTTTAATAGGTATTAAGTCAAATAATAATTTCATAATAGCCTTTAATATTTTCAGTTTCACTTCCGTCATTATACATCTGTATATTTCGGATCAAACTAATGTAAAGCTGTAAATAGCAGGTTGTGAGTTTTAAATGATGCAAGTGAAGTGCAAGCGGAGCTCACGACCTGCTCCCATTTCCTCTCTGCGTTTAACGCTATTATTCACCTCCTCATTTATATGTGTATCCTCCTGTGAACCAGCTGAGAACGTCTCCTGTGTTTCTAAAACAAGAGACTGATTTATTGCAAGTCCAGCTCTGAACTTCACCCTTGCTTCCTCAGAAGAACTCCTAGCTAAAGTAAACCTTGAGCATCGTTATTTTTCTGCTTTTTTAAATTTGAGTTTTAAAGCCTAAAACTTCTAATCTAATCACACTAAATACAGTTATAAACCTAAAAGGGAATTAATTCAATTATAATTAATTATGACTGTGCCTTGGACATGCTATATAATCACATAGAAAATGCATGTTCATGTTGCATGCAATGGAAAAGTCCCAGATACAACACTGCAGTTATTTACTATATTATTAAATGTATCTGGGCTGCTGTATTTCTTAATGTGGCTGTTTTTTTTTCTGCCAGAAATGCCTTTAAATTGTGACTTCACTGCGTGAAAAATGTCTCCTAGAAAAATAAATACATTTTTAATTGATTAAACTTTACAGATTAGAAATAAAAGTAGTGTGTACCCAAACATTGCTTTAAAATGCTTTCCCCATCTAATTGTCTATCTTTTTTTTATTGTTATTTTCTTTTCAAATCTCATACCATCTGGCCCTGCAGGAGGGAGATAAAACAAAGCTCTGGTACTTGTTTGTTTTTGGAACACTTTCAAGGTGTTTGTTTTTAAAAAGCTTATCTGCATTTAATTATCTACAAGGAAAAAAAGACCAACGCATTCATGCTGTTACACATTATGGCTTCCCTTGTGAATTGGGGTTATGAAAGTAACATTTTCTAACACGAGAGCTTTGGTATTCTGATGATTTTTGATCCAGTTTTATGTCCACGAATACTCTTAAGAGATATGATGAGATTTGAACATACCAAGTTTTCTTTTTAAAACCTTTATAGACCAAAAGCCTCCCTAAATATGCAAAGTTGAAGCTGTATTGAGCTATCAAGACTGAAGAAAAACCTAATTTGACTCCTTAAGTTCCTCTGCCTTGCAATAAAAAAGCTCTAACTCCTTCTTCTTCCCAAGCCATTTTATTGACCTCACAAACATTCCTTAAATGTCCCAGTCAGAGAGGTCCCTGGTCAGTTTACCACAGCCAGATCTACTCTGTGGGCAGTGAAAGCTTCCTTACTAAAGTGCAGTTTGATCAAACGGCCAGCTGAGGGCAGCACCTGCTCTGTTTAAGTGGAGATACCTTTTTCTATGGGCTATATGCTATGCTATACTTAGAATATTTTCACCGCTTTAACTTGCTGAAAGACAGCCCTTTTAGACGCCTAACTGGACACTTTAAATCCACTCCTGTACTGTTCAAAGCCAACACACTGTATTAACAAAATCGTTTTAACTTGCAGAAAAAGGAGGTTGCTTGTTAACCGCGTCCGTGCTCGGTTATTGTGTTTAAAGGGTCCCTATTATGCTTTTTGGGATTTCCCCTTCCCTGTAGTAGGGTTATATAGGTTTTTGTGAATGTAAATGGTCTACAAAGGCTAAAATCCCAATGCCTGGAATGCCTCCATTGGACTCCTTATTTACTTCTGTAACATAGTGACATCATCTTCTACTGGCTAGCTCACCAACACATTGTACATGATATACAAGAAATAATTGAAACATATATTGATTATGAAAACAAGACAGTTTCATCAACTGGATTCCAGCTGGTGGCATATAAATATAGTTTGGGGTAAAATCTATTGATTACTTGCAATTTTTTTTTATAATAGTAAGTTATAGGGGTTGATGTTTTAAATCAATTAAATTGTCAGTTAAGGTTTTTTAAAGTGTTTCTATTCTTTATGCAGCACTAATAAGTTGCATCATACATTTACGATGTATTGTGATGAGTGCAATGCATCAGGATTGTCCCCGCCTTCAATCATCATGGATACAAATCAATGCACACATCTATCTCAAATGACGATACACTTTCATCAGCCCAAAACATCTAGCGCTGCATTCATATCATCTGCAAAACACAAAACTTGCGGACAAATGTTGTCTGTAAAGAATTAATTTAGGATTTAGGTGAGTAAAACCTCTTACGTCCTGTTTGGCTGCCTGCCAGAGTTGTCGATAATCTTTTGGCCTCCCTAAATGTCACAGCTCCTGTTTGTTTAAATATTTAAGCAGCCATGCTAGATGATGAAAATAAGAAGAAAAACCCTCCAACAAGTAGATTTGTAGAATCCTTCTGCATGAGGTTTATTTCCTCTTTTAAAACCTGACTGTCAGACAGGAAGGATTCAGGCAGATTTATTTAGTCTCTCAGGATTTAATGTTAACAGGATATTTGAATGTTAGGGTTATGCTATTTTATCACACATTATACATTATGTGAAATAATAATAATACATTTATCCTTAATAAAAAAAACGGCCATATAAAACTTTTAAATGGACAAATGTTACAGCTGCATGAGACATCTTAGCAGGTTAAATTGTGGCACTGCACTGAACTTCTTATTCTTTGTACAAAACTCTTCATATTTCACCAATATAAATTCAGGTTCCCAGTAAACTCTCTCGCCAGCGATCCAAAGTCACCATCTTTAGATCTTCCTCTGAACTCGTCCCTTTTGGTATTTGTCATGAAGGTAGCACAGATTTATTCAACAAACAAAATAAAGTACCATTCCTCATCCTGGCATCCCCCTCGGGCACACATTTTCTTTACATTTAGTCTCCCCCCCTGTCTTCAGGATCACAGAGACACTTCATGTTGGATCCCATCAGAAAAAAGACCTTCTTAAAGTCTGCTCTTTGTTCCTATAGAAAGGTGATCTCAGTCTCTTGGTTCTGGTACGCCTCCTCCTGCATCTCAGTGTACAGCTGGTCCATCCTCTGGAAGGCCAGGTAGCCCTTTTTACCTTCAGATGCACAAAATGAATGTTTTATAAAAAATATGATGACATAAAATACTAGTGAATACTCCATACAAAATAATGATGTTTGTACCGAAAGAGAGGACGGTTTCTTTGGCAGCGCTGCGCAGATCTTCATCTGTTGATTTCCATAAATCTGCTATGTAGTCCACACTCTCTGTCGCCTGGGACACACGCACGCACGCACACACACACACACACACACACACACACACACACACACACACACACACACACACACACACACACACACACACACACACACACACATTATATTCTCTAGTTTAACAAAGAGTGTTTGCTGAGAGTTTATGTATTTTGTGGTGCTCACCCTGAGGCATTTAAGTGCCAGACAGGAGCCTTGTTGGATCTGAACATCAGTGCTTTTCAAACTCTCTGTGTAGTAAACGACTGCCTGGAGGAAAAGGGTGACAGACAAATTATTAGTTTTGTCATGCATCAACATATGTATTATAACAAAGTAAACCAAGAGATGGAAGCTGTGTTGTTAAGAAATAAGAAGAACAACAATCTACAGCCATGCTAGCTGCTTCGTTAAGAACTTAGACACCGCAGTGCTTTGAGCTATTTTGCTAATGTTTAGCAGGGATGATGTTTACCATTACAGTTGAGTTAGTTCTAGTTTGTAACTGTGTGAGCTGTGGGTGAAAACAACAGTGAACAGAATCAAAGAAGTTAAACAATTTTGGAAAGCTATGATGGACTCTGTCGACCAATTTGGGGCAATCTTTACAAATACACAAATAAAGGCAGTGACCATAGAATTCGCCAAAAATGAACTCCATACAGGCCAAGATGTGATGATTTGCTCCTGGAAGAGGTGGGATTTTTCCCATGTGTTTGCATAGAATGGAAGTGAATGGTAATAATACAGGTCATCACCGTAAAAAGCAGCTAGCATGGCAACTTTGTGACTTTTAAGATAATTAGAAGGTGTCATTACATAGCCCTTACATTGCGCAATGAACATTTACTTCACAATGAAGTTAAAGATACAATCTTGCCTATTGCAACTTTATGTGGAATTGAAGGTCAACATTTGAATTTGTCCAAAACTTCTAAATGTCGCATCAGCCTCATCTATACTTGGGTAATGTTAGCACGCTAAATGAAGTAGGTGAACGTTGCATTGCTGCTTAACATGCACATTAGCAATTAGCTTAAAGCAGCTAGTGTGATTGTGGACTCTTTGTCTTATTAATGCTAAAGCTGCATTCACCTGATACGCAACAACATGCTCGCTTAATGAGAGGTTGGGCATAGAGCATGGCAGTGGAAATAGTTTATATTGTTCTCCTGCTAGCTTGTGAGACTACATACAGCTGTTTTCTGGTTGGTTGATTGTTGAAAAGGTCAGCGGTCAACAAAGTCAAATTGAGATTATTTGAACATTAAGCGCAGTGCTCTTTCTTTACTGAGTCACAACGGCGTCGGCGCAGAGCCTCTTTACCACGTTTCATGTGAATGCAGCTCAACACCCTGACAGGGGCAGTTTGACGTACCTTGCTCCTGAAGGCCTTGCAGCCTGCAGCCCTGCAGAGACAGCTGGCTGCAGCTTTGCACACTTTGTGGTTGGAGTCGAGCTGCAGCGCCGCCATAGTCTGCAGCGTGCATCTCAGGGGGAGGAGCTCTGCAATGCCCCGACCCCTCATCTTATTTAAAGCCCGCCTCCTTTTGGGGCTCCTCAGGGCGGACAGGATGTACTCTGAAACACAGTAGTTACCATCATAAATGAATAATGAATTCTGTTGTTTTGGAGCTTTCAATCAAATCACACTATCTTTATCCATCACAGATTTTGCCCATCTCATTTTAATTTTGTGTGGTGATTGCTTTAACGACTTTTCAGGTTGAGGATTCAACCATGTTTACTTTTGTTACAGTCCCTAATTATTTGGTACATCACATGTCATTCTCTTTACCAATTCATTTTGTGAGGTCAATAAAATGGCCTTGTCATAATAGGGTTAATTATAGGGTCCTTCAGACCACCTGTTGGTTCCTAATTAGGAATTGAGAGCAGCTTGGTGCTATCCTTCTTGGCCAATCAGGGCGTGACAACACCCTTTCTTGCTGATTATTTTTTGACTTACAATGCACATCTCATTTCAGCAGATAGCAGCAGGCACTATGCTTTTTGCTGTCTTAACATTTGTGATGGATGATATAGAGCAGTGGTTCTCAACTGGTGGGTCACTAACCAAAAGTGGGTCGAGTGAAAAAAAAAAAGTCAAACTTAAATTTAGAAAGCCCGATTTTCTAATGCTGCGCATGCAGTTGGACTGGAAATGCCGGAGAACATAAATTGTTTTGAAAACCTCTGTGACGTAGTGATCATCTTCTCAATGAATATCTTTGCTGATTTTTTCGAGTCTTCCGACCAATCAGCATGGTTTTGTTGCCGGAAGTCCCGACGGAGAATCACTTTGCGGTAGAACTACTCTTTTTATACAGCAAGCATGTCACATTTTTCACGTGAATTTGCAGGATTGGCTCCAAGTCTGCCTTTTTATTGAATACAAGTCAAGTGTGCCTTTTTATGTTATAGAGTTCAACTCTGATTCTAGAAACTTTATGACCATCAGATTAAACTTTCTTTAAAAGCATACTTTAGTTCTGTGAAGGGATTTAAGGATATATTCACTGTACTTCACTTTAATTACAATTGTATGCTGATTTTTTTTTTGTTGAATAGATTTGAGTGAAATTTCTAAGTTTTGTGAAAAAAGTGGGTCCCGAGGCTTGACCAGTTGAGAACCACTGATATAGAGCATTCTGAAACAAGCTGCAATAAGTATCATTAAAAGGGAGCTTTCCACTAGGTTACTGCATCATGCCAGGTTTTAGAACTTTTGTTTATAGAGATTTTTTTTACTAAAACTCCCATCATACACATTTTATTTGCCATTTTATTTGCCATGACGATGCATTTGTTAATTATTGAATAGGCATTATTAGGGCCTGAGCACGAAGTGTGCGAAGACCTATTGTAATGCTTAGAATTATTATTATAATTCTTCATAGTCTGGGCCCAGGAGTTCAAAACTTTTAATCCCTATCTGATCAAATCAGATTTGGATTTTGGGGAGTTCAAAACCAAAAAACAGGATTAGGATCACTTTGATATCAGATCAGATCAGAAAATCCAATCCAAGCTTTAATCTGGATCAAATCTTCAAAATGGGTAGTTCAAACCAACAACACAGGATTGGGATCAATTTAATCCCAACAAACTGGATTATCCTGATCCCACCAGAGGGGTGGATTTCCAGTGGATCACCAGAGCAAAATGTACTAATACAATTTATTTTAAAATATGTTTCAATTGAAATAAGATGGCAATGTTTGTTAACTGAAATAATACACAATTTTTAGCCTTCATGGGAAATCAATTTTATTTTTCATTTTTTGGTCACGTTTGTGGTGGCCTATTTTGTTTTCAACCAAATGTTGATGACATAAATGTTTATGCTCATAAAAGTGTAACAGCAAAGATTGTCAATCAAAAATGTAATTTAGATTAAAGTAAAAATATCTTCAACAAAAAAAAAGTCCATCATCTGTCATCACCTTTCAAATAAAAAAA